ACTCCAGCTGGTGTAAATGGCACCTATGATGTTTGGTAGATGAGGTGGTTGGTGCCCAGTGTGGATTGTTAAAGGGAAGAGGACCAACTCTCTTATGAAGTTGGTCCTAGGATTATAGTTCTGTGCTGCAGGGGAGGAAAAGCTTCCCTCGGGGAGGGGTCATGGAGACAGAAGTATGAATAAGGAAGGCTGGTATGGTGGAGAAGGAAAGGGAGAAGGAGAAACGCTCTGCGATGAGGATGGCAGGGCAGAGTAGGGGTGTGGGAGTAGCTGGGAGGGTACACCTGCAGGCCCAGTGCTGGAGGGGCCAGGAAGAAACCAGGAGTCAGAAAGGGCCACCGAGTGACCAGGGCAACTGTGAATAGAGAAAGAAGTCAGGGCACAAAATGTGGAAGTCCAAGAAAGAGATGGGAGCAGACAAAGTGGGAAGGAGGGGTGGAGCCTCCTGGGGTGGGCCAGCAAGAGCAGGTGCTGGGAGAGCCGTAACAGCGTGGCTAGGCCGAGGGCAGCATTTGGTCATATTAGCTCTCAGCTGCACAGGCCACTCCACATGCCTGTCCTGTGCAGTGTGTTGGTTGTGGAGTGCGTCCTGGCATCTGTTCTTCTTGCTTTACTGACAGCACCTGAGTCCTGGTAAAGTTGGCATAGCTAGAGCCAGCTTGCCAGCCTGTCACCACGACTACTGCATCCCCAACACGGAGGAAGCCATGAAGCTGTCCTGGGGGAGAGAAAGGTGACAATTAGTCACCGAGGGACCCAGGCAGCCCTATGATGAGAAGCCACCAAAGGCTACCTTGAAGAGGGTGAAGAACCTGAAGTGAAGTGGTGGCACCACAGGGAATGTGACTACTGTGGTATGTACAGTAAAGTTGCAGTGTGTCTCGGGGTGGGATGGGACACATTGTTGCTAAGGAACAAGCTTATCCACTGGTGTCTGTGCTGATAGGAAAAGGTCTGATCTTATGACAGTTGTAAGTTAGATTTTAGTTCTGGCTTTCTGCTATGGCATTTTGGGCTCTAGTGGAGACTCTCCACAGGGTAATGTGGGTTGGAGATGCCCCTGGAGTCACTCAGCTTCTCTGGCAGCTCACAGTCTGGAGGTTTCCACTGTCTGCATGAAGAGCATTGTTGTGGCCATATCCTGCCCCTGTTCTTCTCCGTCTGTGAGCCTCAGGCCATCCCTGCCGGGATCTCTCCTGTTTAAATTAGCCACAGCTGGTTTCCTACAACCAAAGGACCCTCACCAACCCATGTGAGTTAGTGACTTGGTCTTTGCCTTTCAAGGACATTGTGTTCTCTCAGTGCGAATCCATCTCTAGTTGTTTTTAAATGGCATGGATGAAGGAACAGGCTTCCAAACAAAACTGGATGATCTAAAGATAGCATCTTCTAACAAGGAAAAATTTCCCCAGTGTCAGAGTGCTGGGGTCACGGATACAATCTACGAGCTGGCTGAGTCCGTGTATTTATCTGGGTCCTCACCAAAGGCATCACAGTGCGCTGTGGATGGGGGAAGTAGGTTTTCTGCCGTATGTTATAATGCTCTTGTAAGAGTGGAAAAGACTGCATGTTTGTCAGATCTGGCTTCTAGCTTCTGCCAGTGCTGCCACCTGCACAAAACTCTGCTCTTGTTAGGAACATATGGTGGCCTGGCTCCCTGGGTAGGGCAGGCATTGAATTTTTGAGCTGATATTAGCCATGTGCCTATGAAACACCCTACTTATAGCCACTGGAATTCCCCTAGTGTTTGCGTATCTTGATGAAAGGATGTGGCAGAGCTTCCTTATTTGAACAGGAAATTTTGATGAATATGTAATTTTATTTCAGGTAGTTCCTTTTTGAATTAAAATATTCATATACATATGAAGTGTTTTTGCAGAAGAAATGATTTAAATAGCAATTATTGTGGATATATATTCTGTCTGACTATATAAATCTCATACATGGAGGTTACTTAGCTGGATGAAGGGATGGAATTTGTACCTGCTCTATTTCCTGCTAAGAAGGAAGGACCTGGTGCTGTTACACTTTCCATATGGATAGGTTCATCAAAATGGCAGCAGAGCCTTTTAGTAGTTATTTTTGGTGCTTGATTATGTGGAAAGATTATAGATCTGCACTCAGTACAAGCATGTGGAGGGATGGAGACAGTGCCTTTTCCCTTGTCTGGGTCTAAAACATTCTGGTCCCTCATGGGTGTGAAGCTAAAGGGCAGAATGGAGATGTGTAGAGGCCATTCCCGGGACATGAGGACTCCATGCTTGGAACCCCCTGCTGAGCTAGCTTGGTGTTGGGTCAGGGGAGGAGTCTCTCCTCAGAGGCTGTTACTCTTTTTTTTTTTTTTTGAAATTTTAGAAATAAAAGGAGGAAAATACTAACAGATCGACAAAGTTTTACAAAATAGCAAAGGCTGTTACTCTTAAGGATGCTGACTGTGTCTGAGGCAAGACAGGCTGAGACAGGCGACAAGCAAAAGAGTGAGGACCCAGGAGCAGGTGGGAGCAGTGGAGAGAATGTGGAGGAGCAGGACCATCACTCCAACTCCAGGGGCTGAGAACCAAGTAGAGCCATGATCTGCAGGTCGGGCTGAAGGAAGTCCAGGAATCAAGTGTTCCTAGTGGGTCAATGATCTTAACTCTCAGATGTTTTCCCTGAGTTCCATCCAGGGGCACTGGTGTGTGCAGGGACCACTGGGGTCTACGATCCCAGAGAGGCAGGTGGCATCCAAGAGCAGATGTTTCATGTCTTGAGGCCAGTGTGGAGGCTCCGCTTCCAAGCCCATAGTCTTCCTGCAGGAGGAATGGTGAGGGATTATCAGCTGTGCTCAGGGGCTGGGCTCTGAGGCTGCTGGACTCTGTGATGGTAGGCTGGGGCTGCTGCTAGGACAGAGGAGGAAGCTCCATGGTGAGCCTTGCTGGCAGAGACATGTAGCCTGTGTTTCTGGAAACTTGTGTGAGCTCACCTGGCTCAGTTGGCAAATACAGGCCATTGATTTCTGGTAGGCAGGGTGGAGAGATACTCAGTTAACATTTTGGACCAAGGAACTGCCATCCATGTGACTCAGACCCACATGTCTTCCTGGCCTGAAAAGTGGAAGGGAGGGGTTATGAAAACTAGATTACCCTCTGAGAGATCAGTTAGGGGTACTCTTCTGCATGGCATCTCTTCACCGTGTGGCTGATGCCTGCTCGCCATATGATCCTCTTTCATATGGCCCCTGACTTCCTACATGCCTCTCTCTGGGGTTCACTGCATGGCTCCCACTCATTCTGTGGCCCCTGCTCACATCTCCCCCACCTATGTACCCCCTTTGCTGTAGCACCCTCTTATAGGAGCTATCAAAGCACTGTTGCTATTGGAAGCTGCCTTGTACTTTGTGGCATCCGGCAGGTGGACAGTGACAACCCCAGGCAGAGCAGGTGGGTGAGGAATAATCCCCAATCCAGGAATCCTTAATCTTGGGGCTTGGCAGACCTGAGAAGGCAGTGCAGTGTTGTTCACCAGCCTGGAGCAGAGGCTAGAGGCTGGCCCTGCTATCCACTCTGCTGTGGCAGGCATGTCTTGGATGTGTCAGGTCTTGAGGCCTCAGTTTCCTGTTTTGAAAATTCAAGGGAAAAACTGGATGGTGTCTTGGGACCCAGCAAGTCTGAATTCCTCTGCCTGCAGCACTTGGGCAAGCTTTCTCAGAGCACCCGGTGGCTGTCATCCTAGCAGTTTCCTCGAACCTTCTGATATCAGAGGAACCTTTTCCCATGGGGTTTTGTTCTGAGAATGCGGACATGGGATCCTGGGGTACTTCCATCTCAGCAGTGGCCTACGCAATTGTTAATGTTTGTCTCTGTGTCATTTGAGTTTGTCTAAGGCTTTTTGCAGAGATGAACTTTCTTCACTTATACTGGGGAGTTTTTGTTTTCTTTCTCCAAGTCAGAGGTTAAGGAGCTGGCTTTGAGATATTTACTTTGAGATATTTCAGGCTGGTGGCAGGTTGGTGGGTGAGAATAGCAGCCCAGGCTTCGGAGACCTGAGGCCCAGCCCCTGCTGCTGTTAATGCTTTTATGAGTGGGTCTGATGGCCTGGGCTCAGACAATCACCAGGGACCTGTGTTATGTTTTATGTCTGGATGTTCCCCCAAATGGGAGCAGGCTTTTCAGAGGAAGCTGACTCTAGAGTTTATGGCTGATTTATGGTCTAATTCTGAGATTAAAGTGGTGAGTGCTACACCCACCCTAGGGCAGGTAGCCTGCATACAATATAAGAGACAGAAACAGTCCTCTTTTGCTTGTTGCTTTTGCTGTCTTTTGCTGCCCTGAACTGTTGCCCCTCTGCTATGGACCATCCTGCCTTGGAGCCAGCTGGTTATGGATGGAAACCTCCACAAACTGTGAGCTAAATAAACTTTTCTCTCTTTAACTTGGGGTGTTGAATATTTTGTCTCAGCAATGAGAAAAGAGTAATTCAGACAGCTGGCCTTAGCACTGGTGTTTTATTACAGAGGCAAACTGTGCTTAGTAGCTGTTCTCAGTTTTGCCAAGAAGAGAAGACAATTGATTTTTTCTATTTATATTGCTCTGCTTATTAGCATGCATAATACAAAGCCTAGAGTTGCTGAAGAAAAATCAACAAATTCTGATAAATTTGTAGAGCTAAACCATGGGATTGTTCTGAAGTTTCTACCCAAGGATGCTCCCCAACTGAGTCACATTGAGAAAGCGCCCTTAATTGGAAACAGCCTCAGACAATGGTAGCAAGGATAGCAACAGAGAAAGAATATCAGAGCCAAAATACTTACAAAGCAGATGCTAATGAGAGAAAGTTGGCAAAATGTTGACAGCTCTATTGACTATGTCTGTCTGCAAACATCCGGTGTACCAGGGTGTGAGAGCCACACCGGTGGCTGGGAGTTCAGGGGAAAAGGAAAAGTGCCTGGTCACTTTCAGAAAACCAGAGACTCATTTCTTTCTATGTCTGTTCTTATTTCTAACAAGCCTTGTGCTTTCCAGGTTGTCCACCTCTTGGTCTGGAAACCTTAAAAATCACAGACTTCCAGCTCCATGCCTCCACAACAAAGCGCTATGGCCTGGGAGCACATCGAGGGAGACTCAACATCCAGGTACCAGCCTTTTGTGCGTGCAGTGGTGTTGCTGATTGTTCTGGTTGTAGGCATGGCAAAGATTCACTGAGATCAGGTCAAGCATGCACAACATTTAAAAAGTGTTAGCAATGGTTCTCATGATAAGGAGGGCATTGCTAAGTAATTTTTATTGTGCGGAGTGCAGGGATGCAAAGACTTGTCTTCTCCAAAGACGGTTGTCAGTAAAAGTGAGGCTGTGTTTTTCTTTTTTTGTGTGTGTGATTTTCTAATAGTGCCATAGTTTGGATTTTCTTCTCCAGCTGTTCTGTAACTGTATGTGGTTTCAATCCCTCTGTGCATATGCAATCCTGTACCTGCGGTGTGGGGAGTCTTTCCATTCTACCCTGAGGGGACATCAAGTCTGCACTTAGCTCCTCTAAGTGGAAGAGTGGACCTTTCATTCCCTAATAGTCACTGTAAATTTGGTAGATGTAGCTTCTACGCCAGGAACTGCACAAAAGAGGCTCAGGCCCCTTCCCAGAGAGCATGTGCGCTCTAGAGCATCTGAGCTCAGGTCTGACTTCATGCTTCTGCTTTCTCATCACCCCTCAGAACTGACTCATTGAATAGACTGCCAAACTACTCACCCCTTGCCACTTATTAGCTCAGAGGAAGTCAGGCAGAACATTTCCAGAAAGAACTTTAATGAAATCCAAAGATTAGTTTATAAATACTATTAAAAAAAAAAACCAGTTAAGAAACATTTGAATGTGTAAGACTGGAAACTGCAAAAATTCTCTTGTATTTTACAAGAAAGTGAATACATTAACTCTCAATTTGGCCAGGAGTTACCATTATTGATCTTGAGTGCCCCAGCACCCTAAGGCGGCCTCTAGACTTCTTAGGAAATTAGAGTGAGGCTCAGGTCAATTCAAGCAGGTGTAGGGGACTGCTTCTTGCAGAAGGAGATAGCATGTGATGTTCTAAATGGTTTCTCTACAAGTGGAGTTACCACTTAAGCAAGAAGGCTTTGTATTTACCCTCATTTTCCATCAAAAATCAAAAGGGTCTGTTAGCCCTAAACTCCTAGGTAAGGTGAGGACCAGGGAATACTGGAGTCCTTCTGGTTGGGACTTCTACTGCAGACTGAGCCAGAGTGTGGCAGCGAAGTCACTGGTCAGGTATGCTGGGCTCAAGCCTTGGCTGGAATGTTTAGCTTCTGGGACCCTTGGAATAATTATCTCATAACTGTGAGCCTTAGTTGCCTCATTGGAAAACATGAGAGTCCTGAACACTCACCAGTCCATTGAGTGATAAAATCCTCATTTCTCTGGCAAAAGCTTCTGGTAGCTTCCAGTTGCTCCTTGAACAGATTCCCATTTGGATACCTCTTTGTTGCCTGCGTGATACAGCTTCCCCGAATGTTCCTGTACTTGTCTCCTTGGGCTTTATCTCAGCCACCTCCCTGGGCAGAGTAGGCCCCTGGGGAGAGGGAACTGGTCTTCTTCTTGCCCATCCACTAGCACCCAGCACAGCATGGCCACACACAAGGCGCACGGAGGAGGTCCCTGGAGACATGGCTGAGGTGTGGACAGTGTTTGATCCCTGACTTGCCCTCACTGGGCCGTGCAACAGGCCCCACAGTGGACAGACCATCCAGTCCTTACCCTCTCCTCATTTTTCTTACCTCCTTTGTCTGTTTCCTATGGGAGTCACGAAGCTCCTCCCTGTGAATGTCAGCAGAACTCACTCTCCTATTTTCAGTCAGTGTAAATAAGGGGGTAGTTTGACATCCTCACATTGGTGCCATTGGTCTTTAGATGGATTTTTCTCTGTGACAGTGTCTTATTTGCCCAGATGCCATCTCAGAAGGAAATATACATACCTTCCCTTACAGTGTGAAGTTGTTGCTGTAATAGTCAGGCCAGGCCAGGCCAGCCATCCCTAGCCCTACCCCTTTAAGCTGGGTCACCCACAGAAGGTGGCGTGCTGTCTGCAGCATGTGTGAGTGGATTTCAATCCATGACCTCCACCGGCAAGTAACCATGAGGCTGGCACCCCTTTGTGATTTGTACCTTCCAGAGCCAGTGCTGCAGGCATCATAATTCCACTGCTGCAGGTGCACAATTAAAGTCAGTGTTCCAAAAATATGCCTCCCCACACAGAATGGTTTGAAATGCAGCTTAAAAATAACTACATCTTGTCTCACTTATGCGTATTTTGTAGGCGTGTCAAGCTAATGGGATTGAAGTGTGAGAAACACCAAGGTGTCAGAATTAGAATTCATATTTAAGTATGTACTTATTCTAGGACAAGCAGAATGTGAGCAAATCTAGTCCAGCTTTTCCCTGGCCCAGGGCTCTGTAGGCACAGAGTGGCATAGTACAGTCCCGAGTGCATAAGCCTCACAGGCTGGGACCCATGAACTAACACAGTGGTCTTAAGTAAGGTAACCACCTTCTCAGAGGCTTGGTGTTATCATCAGGAAAACATAGGTACCACCAGCAGCTCTGCTACTTTCACAGTATCATGAAGACCAAAAGGAGTAAAGGAAAAGAACTGTCTTTTTCCTGGCAGAGGGCAGAGGCATTGGGTCTGAGAGGCATCTGTACTGTGATCAGTGTGTTATACTTGTTCCTGTACTGCATTTATTCCTCAACAGGAAAGACAAGTACCACCATTCTCACCTCTGTCTTATACAGAACAGACACATGGAGTTTGAATGACTTGGATAGGATTTCCCAGGGGAGACAGATTACAAATCCAAGCAACTTCAAACCTAGAATTGTTGCCCCGGACGATGTCATGAGTCTCTCTCCCACATCAGTAACTAGTGTGTTCTAGGTACAGCATCTGGAATGATGAGTCAGCCGTGTCATTATTTCCTGACAGTTGCGTCCCACTGATTTACTTGTCTCTCTCCTTGCCAGATGATGAGTCTAATGCACCTAACTTGCATCCTGCTTTCTTGGCTCTTCCCTGCACCATGTCAGCGCAGTCTCCACATAGCTAGCTGCAGGTGCTTCGTATTTGTTTCTGCACAGGTGCTGCAGTGCTTATGGGTCCCAGAAGGAGGCAGTGCAGACAAGGCAGCGGTCCCTTGCATATGTTCCTATGTGGTTGACAGAGAATAACCTCATTGTGACATGAGGAAAGTTTCTTCGTGCACAGATTCTGCCAGTATAGATGTCCCATGATATCCATGGAGGAATTGATTCCAAGATCTGCCTCAAATACCAAAATGTATGGATGCTAAATCCATTTCTATAAAATAGCATAGAACATACCTGGTATGGCAGCATATGCCTGTAATCGCAGCTCTCTGGGAGGCTGAGACAGGAAGATTGCAAGTTCAAGCCCGGCCCAGGCAACTTAGTGATTTAGCAAGACAAGTCTAAAATTAAAATAAAACTAAGAAAGGGTTGGGAATGTCTGCCTGAAAACAAAAAAATAAAATTTAAAAAGGGTTGGGAGTGTAGCTTAGTGAGAAGACCCCAAGTTCGATCCCCACTACTGCAAAATAAATAAATAAATAAATAATAAATGGCATAGCACTTGCACATAACCTACCACACTCTCCTGTAAACTTGAATCATCTCTATTTTACTTATAATACATAACATATTGTAAATTCTATGTAAAATGTTGGAGTGTTCAGTGAATGATGATAGAAAAAGGTCTGTGCATGTTTAGTACAGACAAAAATTTTGTTCTAAATATTTTCCATATGTGGTTGTAGAACCTGTAGAAATAGAACCTGTGCATATGGAGGACTGAGTATAGATTTGTAGTTTGTGACACCAAGTACCAGCACTAGACCATGGGGCCCATAGGAACAGGTAAATACAGAAGGTGTAGGGGAATGTGGTCCTGTGCATGGGGCTCAATGCGCGCTGCTTCCTGTTCCTCTGCCTTAGTGTGGCCACGTGTTGGTTCATTTCTAAGTTCCTTTGTGCATTTTGTCTTTTGCCTGTGCTTAGTCTTGGAAGGCAGCCAGGTGCACAGGAAGTATACTTTAGGAGGTATACAGGTTGGTTGTCTAGTGGCAGCCCATCACCTGACCCATCCCCAGAGCATCCTTTGAGGACCCCAGGAGATCTTCATGGTTCATAAACTAAGGGAAGGTGCTCAGTCACCCTTAAGCGACTTGTCCCCCTACCGTGATGGTGTCAGATGCTTCCTGAGCTGGGAACCTTGAGCATATTTCAGAGCATTGCCACTTCAGTGGGTTGGGTTTCCTGCCTCACTGTTAAGTTTGCAGAGCTGCATAAAGGAAGGCTTGACATGTGAACAGAAGAAATGAAATATAAGGATCATGTGCCTGGGACTAAGGATGTTCCCCCAGTTCTTGCCAATAACTGGGAATGGAAGAACACTGGTGCTCAGATCAGAGGCTGAAGGAAAGTATTGACATTTTGATGTTTCTAGACAAAATGTGGTGCACAGCACGCGCACCTCCTGACACCCAGTCCAGCATTTGACACTCTGTGGCCCAGATCTAACCATAAGTATTTGAGCTGAAGCTGACTCACTTTGGCTCCTGAGAGGAACTCACCTTTTAAACCTCTTTCAGGAGGAAATGTTTGGATATAACAAGGGCATCTGTCAGAGCTGTCTCCCCGGCACTGCTGGGATGAAGTATGGCTCCTTGCTGTACTTCCCTTCAAAGAAAACCTGCACAGCCCTAGACATTGACGGGAAGGCTCTAGTTTCAGTGGTCTGAGCCGCTTTTTATCTGAAATGATGTGTAAACCTTGAAGGTGGCTGATGCCCACGACTTTCTATGTGCCCTCCTCCACCGAAGACAGGAACTCAGGTGCAGAATGTTGAATCCACAGTTTTCGCCTGGTGTGGAAGCTCACTTACCTAAGTACATCCCTCATGCCTGTCTCCCTGTACCCTTTGGCCATGCTGTACCTGAGGCCTCACTGCTCCAGCAAAAAGATGCTTCTTCTCCTGGCAGGAAGTACTTGGAGCATGTTCGGCTCTGAGCATTCCATGCCTACTTATGGATGCTGCACGGAGTCTTTGCCCTTGTT